TTAGAATTAGTTGATGCTGGGAGGGGGAATAGGGATGAGAGTCCAGCTAGTCATAACAATAATAACAGTCGTGGGAACCCAAGGACATTGGGCCCACAGCTGATAGCATTTTGGCAGGCTGGGGAGAAATCCCGTGCTTCAAGCTAATTGGGGAATGTGATTTATGACTGTTTATTGGAGGAGGGAATTGCACTTTGTTACTTTGTATCCAGGGGAGGGGAATTTAGTTTTTGGTTTTAACTATGTAGTGCCGATACGTTGTTTCTCAAATAAAAGATTCTTTAAGGTAAACAATGCCTCGAAGTTCTTTTGAAAACTTTCATCTGTTGGAACCAATGACAGATTCTGATTCTCCAGTAGTCAGCAGTTATTTCTTTTTTCAGGTTTTTTTTTTAATCAAAAAGTTATTTTTATATATTTTTATAATTCCATCAAAAACTTTTTAGGGTATAATCTTGACAGTTTTTTGGTTCCTAAATTTATCCAGACTGTAGTATTTTAAATCAAATTTTAGTATATCCCTTTCCTCCTTAATATTAATTTGCCACTTCCATCTGTAAGGGAATGGAGATATAGTCCCCTCCCTTGACTTCCAGAGGTTTTCTTGCTTTGGGGATCTTTCTCAAGGATTCAATTAGTAGATAGAAGAAAGAAGATCAGTACTCTCACCAATTCCAAGCACGCTGTTCACCGATGTTCAGGTTCGTGCTCTGGGACTTCGGATGCAAGTAGCTTGGGCTAGATGCTGATCTCACGCTAGTCTTTCTCCTGTCAGGTTCGGAGGGCTTCCCCCGGATCAGACGGAGCGATTGCTGTCGCTTCGTGGTCAACGGAGCGTCCCTCCTTCATGGTCACCTCTTCAGGGCAACTTCGAACCCATCTAGGGTCCCCCCTGGCAGGACGAAACTAGCTGTGGGGAACGGAGGTCCGCTGTCGCGTGGCCATTCACTACGGGCGCAAAACTGGAAGTCCCTAAATTCTTTTTCCCCTCAAAGGGTGTTGGCCTTTCGTTGGGAGCACTGACAAGAACACTACTTGTGCTCCTGGCTGCTTAACTTTGTTGCCTAGTTGTTTGTAGTCCCTCACTATTGCATTCAGGTTGTTTGTTGTGTCGTTCGTCCCAATGTGGAGGAGGAGGAAGGGGTAGTAATCTGTAGCCTAATTATTTTGGTTAGGTTGTCAGCCCAACTTTGATTTTTGCTCTAGGGAGACAGCATACCTCCCTGGATTATATATCTGGTCTGCAGATGGATGGTTCTGTTCCTTTGAGGATGGAGTCTCCTATTACCAACACTCTCCTTTCTTTTTTAGGGGGGATGCAGTCTGGGGTGCTTTTCTGTTTATCTCAGGTGTATTTGTTGAAGTGACTTTTTAATGACCTTTTTAGGGATGTTTCAAGTTGTCTTTTTGCTAGGTGTCTGCATGTCTTTTTTGAGGGGGGGTTGTGGGTCTGCGTGTTTCTGTTTAAGGGGAGAAATTGTTTGATCAGTTTTAGTGGGGCTGTTTCTGGTTGGGCAGAGGTAATTTGTTTGTTGTATGCTGTTTCTTTGGGTATTGTGTTTTCTTCTGTGTGTGACATACCTCCATTTGTCTTCTTCCAAGGGTTTATCGGTGAGGTCAAGTCCTCTAGGAGTTATTTGTTCATTGTTTGGTTCCGTTTGGGTGGAGCTGGGGTTTGGCTAGAGTTGTTTCTAAATTCCTAACCTTTTCCTGTAGTAGTTCGCATAATTTGCATCTGATGCATGTATAGTTGGGGTGTTCTTTAGGCATCAGTGCATACATGGAACATGTATTGCATACCACAATAGCCTCAGTTGTCTGTTCCATGAGTTTGGTGTTTGGTGGTTTCTGTCTTGCTGCCTTGCCGCCACCTGTAGGCCTTTGGTCCGCTGCTGCTTCGCCACCGTTGCCTACAAGCCTTCTGGTCTGCCGCTGCTGCCTCACCTCCACCTGCAGGCCTCCTGGTCCGCCACTGCCGCCTTGCCTCCACCTGCAGGCTTCCTGGTTTGCCGCTGCTGCCTTGCTTCTGCCTGCAGGCCTCCCGGTCCTCAGAAAAGGACGCTGTCGCCTGCAGGCCTCTGGTTCGCCGCTGCTGCCTCATCACCACCTGCAGTCCTCCCGGCTCGCTGCTGCTGCTTCTCTGCCACCCACGGGCCTCCCAGTCCCCTGCTGCCACCGCCCGCCACCTCTGTGCTGTCCCCAGTGCCTCACCGGTCCGCTGCCTCGCATTTCTGCCGGCCATTTCCTTTTCGCTTCCCCAGCCATCTCACCGGTCCTCTACCTCACGCTGCCATTGGCTGCCTCCTTTCCACCTATATACTGTAGATGTAGTACCATTAAGGACTACTCATTGAGTTACAAATCCATCTGGTGGTGATGCTGTCTATCCCACATTTTTCTAGCTTATCAAGAAGCAGGTTGTGGTCTACTTTGTCAAATGCCTTGCTGAAATCTAAATATACGAAATATACTATGTTCACAGATCTGTTCAAAAGGGAAGATCCCTTCTAACAGCTCAAGGCTGGACAGTCCGGGGATCTCTCTTATCCTCCCAATACAACCACCAGAGTTCCTATTCCCTGTATTGAATGGGTCCAAAATGTTGTAAAGCAGGTGGGTTAAGGAGTAAAATGTATTCCTTAATTATTTAAGACACCAATTTTGATCCTTAAGCTTTATCTAAAATGTCATTCCTTCCAATTCCATGAATAATCTAAAAGGTTCCTATCCCTGTTCTGGACTGGCACATTTTTGAGGCAAGTTGGAATCAGCCAGAGGTGTAAAAAAGGATGTAGAAGCAGGAGGGCCTGATGCTACAGGGGGCAAGATCCTTGAGAGAGGTGCCTGCTAAATTGTAGGGAAAACTTCAGTACTTCCAGTCTGGTTAATGGAAGCTGGCTATTGTCTGTTTTCTGGGAAGAGTTTGAGTCTGTAACCCTTGAGGAACTGGAGTAGATTCATGGGCCTGCAAACGTGGCCAAATGAATGTTAGATCCATGCCCCCTCCTGACTAGGTTAAAGCCTCCTGGGAAGTGGGATATGGTGGGGTCCAAGTGGTGGTAAATTTGTTCCTGAGTAAGGGGATGGTCCCTTGATGGAGAAGTGCACCTTAAAAACATCTCTGGACCCAACAGTGTTAGTGAATATCCATTCAGTCTCCAGCCTTCCCTTTTGGGGGAAGGTTGTTGAGATATTAGGCATTCACTTTGCAGCTCGGGGGGGGGGGGCTAGAAGAAGTGGATTAGCTGCCTTTTTTCAGTCCAATTTCAATCCTGGTTGTAGCATGGAGAGGGAGATGGCATTCACAGTCTGAAGACTGGGGAGTTCTACGCTGGAGGGGGCTGCTGGATTGATGGCAGACTCCACCTCCCCCCTTCTGCTTTCCACCCATCCATCTTTTGGTTATCATATTGATGTATTCTTATTGTGTTCTTTTTCTTTGTTTTATTGTTCTGTTTTACTTCTGTTTATACTTTTTTGTTTCTTTTTATTGTTGTAAGCTACCTAGAGCAGCCCCATGGCAAGATAGGTGGCAAATAAATTTAACAAATAAATAGATTGCATTTGTAGATGATCTCTGGTGGAGCCAGAACGGGGATGATACAACTGTCATGGTTTGACAGACTCCAGATTCACGTCAAATTCAGATCTCTTAGCAGCCTTGGAGACCATCAATCATGGTATCCATCTGGATCAAACATAGTGTGGTCAGAGTGTTGTCTCAGTTTCTAGAGGCTGTTAAGGTCTGGATGGGAAGAAATAAATTGAAACTGAACTGGAACAAGATCACCTAGTTCCAGGAATGTATTAATCTCATTTTTCAATGGAGCTGCATTTCCCCATGTTACAGTGTGCAATTTGGTTTTCTTTCTGGAATGATAGCTGTTGCTTAAGGAAGAGATAGCAGCTACAGCCAAGAAAGGCTTTGCACAGATTATACTAATTGTGTCTTTTCTTGGATCATGGTACCCTGTTCATGGCCACTCATGGCTCAGTCAACCTTGTATATGAATTATGACATGTACCTATAGAAGAGGACAGAGGTTACAGTGGATGAAGCTGCCCTTGGAGACTACCCAATACCCACAGCCCTATTTAGAATGCAGTGGTGTGAGCTGCAGTGGTTACGGGCTGGCTTCCAGATGTGGTCCAACCTACTGGTTGCCATCTGTATAACCTGTTTGCAGGATCACCCATCTTCTGTTGAATCTGCCTGTCCAATAAGACTTGAGTAGGTGGGCTATTTGGTCTTCCGGCACAAAGGAGGCATGCCTTCTGGAATGTTCTTCCCCCTCAGACCTTCAGGAAGGTCTTGGAAGTCCTCGTGCCAGGATGTCCATGAGCTTGCTGTTGAGTCTGAATGGCTTGTTCATAGTTGTACAGGCCTTTCTGCTCCTGTGTTAATTTGTCTATATTTTTGTTTCTCACGCTTGGAAGCTGGCTATAATTGTATATGGAAATCACAAACTGAAATGATAAATGAAGACACTCATAGTTTTCAAATGGGGGGGGCGTTTCTTCTGATCCCCCCTTCCCAATCCGACCCATTTGGATGCCCTGACTCAGAATTCCTCCTTCAAGAGAAGACTTTATTTCAGCAGACAGTGGCGAGTGCCATGGCTCCTTGGCCCAAGCAAGCCTGTGCAGCTACGGTTCCTTGCGCTGTCCCAGCCCCTGGTTGCTTATAGGCAAGGAAGTGTCCTTCTGTATGGCAACCAAGCACAATCCGGATGGTGGGCTGTGCTACAAGGGGAGCAAATGGGGCTGGTGCAGGAGGAGCCCCAGCATCCATTCAAGAAAGAGCCGCCTGACCGGCAGCGAAAGGACTTTGGCCACCAAACTTCCCAGGAGTTCATTATAGGTAGAAAAACACTACTAAACAAAATCCATAACTGTTTTCATAAAGAGAAGCCAGGTGAAGCGCCAGGCTCATTCACAAGAGACGTGCCATAAATATTGGAAAGTTGTCCCAGGCTGCCCCAGTTGAGCCTGAGCAGACTCTTCTTTCTTGCAGTGAAGATGCCATGAGAAATGCTGGCGTTGCTCACAATAAGACCAGCAAAGAAATGGAAAACCATGTTTTCATGAAGGCCAAAACGCGGGTAAGAAGTTCCTTTCCTTGCTGGGTGGGAGGGAGCCCCCTGCAAGGAGAAGCTGACTGGCCAGTGGCCCTGCAGGCGAGGCGGCCTCCGCACACACGTTCCCCTGCCTGCCGGGGGTGCTGTTCTTGGCCTGGTGCTGTTCTGTCCAGGGCTCCGTCCCCACCTGGCAGATCCACATCATGCAGGCGCCTTGCTGAGTGGCACTGCAAGAAAGCCAAAGGGGTTGCTCCCTGCGCTCTGCACATCGTGTGGCCCACCTGGGCTGCTCCCTTCCCCCCGCCAAGCCCCTTCCCTTCCTCCCCATTGGGCACTTGCCCAAGCGGGAGGCACCAGAAGATGCCCAACTGCGGCAAGAAAGCAGCTTGAGATGGCACATTATTCACTTCATGTGAGTGGAAGGCACCCACACCCAGTAGGTGAGAGGTACTTTCCAGGGAAGGTGCTTAGAATCTGGATTCCTGGCTCCTCCTCCTCCTCCTCCTGGGGAAATTCTCTCAGGAAGGCTCTGGCCCGTCTCTTCAGCGGAGGAGGAAGTCTGCGCAGGACGGGACTTAAGGTTCAGAAAAGGAGGTTCTGCTTCCTAAGGGGAGGAGGCTCCCCTCCCCACCCCCGGGCCAAAGGGAAGCGTGTCCTAGTGGCGAAGGGAGACTGCTTGCTTGGGGAGCGCCCAGGCGAGTGGAGGCGGCTGAGAAGCCGAAGGGTCAGAGCAGGGACGGGGCCCCCTCCCTCCACCCCCCAGAGTTCAGCTGCCTTTCCCTCCGTCAGTGGAACCTGAAGTGAACCGGCGATCCGCTCTTCCCAGCTCTGTGGCCCCAGATGTCCCGGACTGCATGGGGTTTGTGAAGCTGTGGCTGTGAGTTCCTGAGCTCCACGGATTGAGGAGATAGGTTCCACTGAATCCAAGGAGAGATCCCTGGAACCCACCAAGCCCTTTTGCTCCGGTGGTGGCTGGCCGGCCGGCCTTTCTCCCCTGCCTGATGGGGCAACAAGTTGCATCAGCCCTCGCCCGCCTCCCTGCTGCCTTCCACAATGCGTTTTCCTTTCCTAATTTTAGGACGAATATCTCTCTCTCGTGGCAAGACTCATCATCCATTTCCGGGATATTCGTAAGTAGCCCTTTTTGTTCCTGTGGGTTGGCTTAAGGCCATTTTTCCTGATTGCCTTGTCCCGGGGTGGGAAGGAGCCAGAGTGGGGAGCTCGCATCAAGTCTTAACCCCCACCCCACCCTTTCCAAGCTGGAATTTGGAGCCAGGTTCTCAAGAGTGGAGAAAGCGCTCTGTCTGGGCCTGGTCTCGGAACTCCAAGGAGAATTGTTTGTGTGGTGCTGAGCTCTTGGAAGGAATGGGGAGAGGGAGGGGAGGGGAGGGAGGGAGGGAGGAAGGAAGGAGGGTACGAAAGGAAAGGGGGAGGGAGGGAGGGAGGGAAGGGAGGGAGGGAGGGAGGAAGGAAGGAAGGAAAAGAGCTGAAAATGAGGAATGAGAAAGCCGGGCCCAGCATCCAAGTCCTCCCATTGAAGAGCTTCAGCAGCTTTCAGGAGAAGGTGTCTCCTTTGCATTTGAGGATCCTATGTAATAATAGTGATAATATAATTACTCATCTTGTTTCAGATGGCCTAATTATTTTTCTGGAAAATGAGTCTTTTCCAGGGAATGAGGGATATTGGCATTAACTCTCAGCCCCCAAACATCCTCAGAAATGACACTTTGTTTTGGGCCTAGAATCCCATTGGAGGGAGAGCCCAAGATTTTAGGGGCTCCAGCACCCCACTTCTCATTTCCAACTACAAATTTGAAAGGGCCTTAAAGCAAAAAACCCATGTTCCCCAGCAGAAGCCCTACTGGCCCAGTCGGGTCATTCCCTAAATCTGTGTGTACAACTGTTACCCCCTTTTGTTTCCTAGACAACAAGAAGTCCCTGGCCTCTGTCAGCGGTAAGGAGCCCCTCTTTGTCCCCTTCCTTTGTAGTGACGCTTCCTAGGGCCTCTTCCAAAAGCGAAGGCCAGGCTGGAGGGGTAGGTACCCTGGCCTGCCCGAGGCTACTGGATGGAAAGAGGAAGTGGGCTCTGAAAAACACATTCTGACACTGCTTCAGCCTCTTCCAAGGTTGCCAGAATCAGAATTCTACTGCACCAAAGACGGGTCGGCACTGGGGGAGGGGGGCATGGCTACATCTTCGTCTGAGTTGACAGAGCAGAGCAGATGCAGCTGTCTGTTTTTTCTCCCCAGACCCTATGAACGCGCTGCAGAACCTGACTGGTGGTCCTCCAGCAGGACCAGGGGCCATGGGGATGACTTCTCGTCCTCAGGGGGCCTCCCTGGCCGGGTTGAGTGGGCTCAGGCCCCCCATGGGGCAGCCAATGAATCTCCCAGGGCAGCAGCCTCCTGGACCTGCTGGGATGGCCCCTCACGGCATCCCCAACATCCCTGCTGCCAGCCAGCCGAGTAAGTATTGGGGGTAAACCTTGGTGGAGGTTTCCTCTGATGGGTTTGGAATTGTGGGGAAGCCTCCCCCGGGACTGCAAACACTTTGTCTCTGTAGACGATTGCAAGAGGATCTTTTTGAATACAAGACTCAAAGCCCAAAGACTGTGAGGTGCAGGGAGGAGACGGCAGCCAAATAGGAGGACTGCTGTTGTGCAAAATCAGGGACCTTCACTCCAAAATGTGTTTTGGTGCGCATTCAGCATGTGGCCCTTTGTGTCTCTCTCCTCAGCCCAGCTCCAGCTGCAGCAGATGGCTGCGCAGCAGCAGCAGCAGCAGTTCCAGCAGCAGCAGCAGGCCGCCCTGCAGCAGCAGCAGCAGTTCCAGGCCCAGCAGTCAGCAATGCAGCAGCAACAGTTCCAGGTGCAGCAGCAGCAGCAAGCAGCAGCAGTAGCTCAGCAGCAAATGCAGGTGGCCCAGCAGCAGCAGCAGCAGCAGCAAATGCTCAAGTTACAGCTGCATCAACAAAGCCAGCAGCAGGTAAGACCAAAAGCTTCAAAGCCTCCAGCAGCAGGAGAGGGAGGGAGGCTCTGGTGGCCGAGGGCCGGCCAGGCCAGCTTCTGTGGGCATCCTGGGAAGGGCTGGGTTGGCTCCCCTGAGGCCATCAGTCTGCTCCACTCGGGGCCCAAGGGAAAGAGGGCCTGCATTTTCATAGCTGGGTCTCTGAATCTGCTCCCAAGTGCAGAAAAAGGAATCCAGGTGGACTTTGGTGTAGCTCCTGTGGCCTCCAGCACCTGGGGCAGCGGAGCCTCCCCAGGGCCTTTCTGCCTCTCTTTCTGTCTTCCTGATAGCACTTCCTTCTCTTCCACTTCTGACTTCAGATGCAGCAGCAGCAGCAGCAGCAACTGCAGCGAATTGCTCAGATGCAGCAGCAGTTGCAACAGCAGGCCGCTCAGGCTGTTCAGGCCCAGCAGCAGCAGCAGCAGCAGCAGCAGCAGCAGCAGCAGCAACAGCCGCAGCAGCAGCAGCAGCAGCAGCCACCTCAGCCCCCACTGCCGCAACCGATGCAGCAGCAGCAGCAGGTGGCCCAGGCCTCGTCCCAATCGCTTCCTCCCCAGCCCCTGGTCTCTCAGGCACAGACCATTCCGGGACAGATCTCTGGCCAAGTCATGTCCATGGCCATCCTGCCCCAGCAGTTAAAAGCCATGCAAGTAAGTGCTCAGAATAGCTGCCTCTGATTGCCCACGTCCGTTTTCCCTCTTGCCCCTAAAGCCAGTAATATAGAATAGTCAAAGAAAGCAAGGAAATGGTTAAGATTAACAAAGGTAGAGAAAATGCAGAACAGTTTTGATGGGAATAAAAATTAATTTTAAAACTAGAAAAAAGGCTAAGCAAGAAGTCTTCAACAGAGAGAATGGAATTGAAACTAAAACTCATGAAATTATTTGCTATGCAGCACCAGTCAGAGATAGCTGGGGATAATATTTTGGAACTCGTAGAGAAATGCTGTTGATGTCAAGAGGTGGATACTATAATGATATAAATGTTAGGATTTAAAAATGATAAAAAGGAAGTGTAAAAATGTTGAACAATTGTAAAGCTGCCAACTTAGATGGTGTATATTGAGAGATGTTAAAGCATGATAGAGTGAATAGATGTGAATTGAGAGAGTTTTGCAGGAATGTGCAGTTTAAGATGTGTTGCTGAATGTAATTAAGAGTGGCATTTGATGAAACTAAAATTTATGTAAATGTAGATGAAATGCCTAGCAATGTTTAGCACTGAGACGATCTCCCTTTGCTTGAAAAAATATATTTGTGGATTAAAAGTATATGAAATACTTGTGGTGATAGAAGTGCAAAGAGACAAAAAAGTTTAGCTTGTTGATTAAAACCTGGTTTTCAGCAAATCTTTAATAGATAATATGATACTACAAGGAATAAAAGATCTGAAAGTTAATGTATCAAAGTGGGATCAATGTGTTTGTCGGTGAAAATGGAGTGAACAGTTGCAAGTTGATATATCTATCAATTTATTACAAAAAATAGATGAGAAAATCATGGATCTTGCAGTCCTGGTGGACAATCACTTAAATATGAGCCAGCAGTATGCTGCAGCTGCCAAAAAAGCCAACACACTGCTAGGCTGCATTAACAGGGATAGAATCAAGATCACGTGAAGTGTTAATACCACTTTACAATGCCTTGGTAAGGCCACACTTGGAATACTGCATCCAGTTTTGGTCACCACGATGTAAAAAAGATGTTGAGACTCTAGAAAGAGTACAGAGAAGAGCAACAAAGATGATTAGGGGACTGGAGGTTAAAACATATAAGGAACGGTTGCTGGAAATCAGACCAATTGTCTTGCTGATACTTAATAAAACATCTCAGGTATTGTTCTAGAACTGAGTTCAGTCTCTTTGTCCCCCCCATTTGTTTGAGGATGATGACTAGATGGCAACTCTTGACAAGAACCCATCAAGTCCAGAAAGGTTTTCCAGAACTTAGAAGTGAATTGGAACCCCCTGTCTGAAATTATGCATTGTGGGGCTCCATGGAATCTATAAACAATTTGCACAGAGAGTTTGGCTAGAGTCTTAGCTGTTGGGATCTTTGGGCATGGTATAAAGTGGACCTGTCTGGAGAACAGTCTATTACTACCCAAATCACAGTGTTTCCAGCACTTTCAGGTAGTTCTACAATAAAAATCCATAGAAATCTCTCTGGTTCTGACGGACTCGCAACTACTGGAGTAATCCAGGAGATTTCCCTTGTCGTCATTTAGCTGCTGCACATGTGGGGCAGTTGGCAACATAGCTTTCTATATCCTTTTTCAAAGCAGGCCACCAAAACTGCCTCTTGAGGAGGTGTAGAAGTTTTACAAATCCAAAATATCCAGCAGTTTTCGAGTCGTGTCCTGCCTGCATTACTTTTAAGTCTTAAGATTGCTGGGACATAAAGTTTTTCTCCAATCCAAGCTAACCCGTCTTTCAGTACACACAGGTTATTGTGATTCCGAAACCATTCATCAGTTTCTAATGCTGTTTTGAAATCCTGTAGCAATGTTTTCCCTATAGGGGTTACTGTCCTTGTCTGGGCCCTGGTGGTGACGGGCTGCCAGTTGATGAGGGTTTAAAAATGGTTTAACCACTTCTGCTTTCTTACTATTATATTGTGGCAGCTGGGACAAGGTGTTCACTAAGAATTTTTCCCCCCCCAGGGATGTAATGGATAGTAAAATCAAAATGGTGAAAGTGTTGGGACCATCTTGCTTGTTTAGGAGAGAGTTTCCCAGAATCGCTTCAAGATTCCTATGATCAGTCCATACTTGAAATGGTATTTTACCCCCTTCTATGAAATGTCTCCAGGTGAGGAGAGCCCTTCGCACAGCATAAGCTTCCTTCACCCAAGCCGCCCACCTCTGTTCAGTCTCAGATAATTTCCTAGAGGTGTAAGCACAGGGTTGCAATTGTCCCTCTTTATTTCTCTGTAATAGGACTGCTTCCACAGCCACATTGCTGGCATCAGCTTGAATTATAAAAGGCTGTTCTGGTTCTGGATGCTTCAAAACCAGCTCCATGGAAAAAAAGTCTTTTAAGTTTCTTGAAAGCAGCTTGGCTGTCCCCCGTCCACTTTAATGGTTGACTAGGCTTCGGTTTATCTCCCCCTCGTGTTTTTAGTAAGTTTGTGATAGGGAAGGCAATCTGCGCGAAAGACGGGAATAACTGTCTGTAAAAATTTGCAAATCCTAGGAAACTCTGGAGTTGCTTCCTAGTTTTTGGAGGAGCCCATTCCAGGACTGCCCTTACTTTCTATGGGTCCATCTCTATCCCTTCATTGGATATATGATAGCCCAAGTAATCAATGCGATTTTTGTGAAATTCACACTTTGACAACTTAGTACAGCCATGCTGGCTGAGGAATTCTGGGAGCTGAAGTCCACAAGTCATAAAATTGCCACGGTTGGAGACCCTTGACTTAGCATACAGCTTAGCCAAGCCTAGTTTTTTCAGTACTGCTCTGACTAGCTTAATGTGTTCGTCCATAGTTTCAGTGTAAATAAGGATGTCATCCAGGTAAACCAAAAACCCCTTATACAGGTGCTTATGCAGGACTTGATTTGATTAATTGCATAAACACTGCAGGGGCCCCTGGCAACCCAAAAGGGAGGACTTTAAATTGAAAACAGCCTAGTGGGCAGTTGAAGGCGGTTCTCCATCTCCCTTCTTTATGCGTATGCGGTAATAAGCTTCTCTCAAGTCTAGCTTGGAGAAAATCTTGCCTTTTGACAAGTGCGCTAACATGTCTTTCATTAAAGGTGGTATATGTTTTACACATACACAGCATTCAGACTCCTATAATCCATACACAGACGAGAGCCATCTTTCTTTTCTCTGAATAATATAGGGGCTGCTACCCGGGGTCTAGCTGGCTCTATAAAACCCCGTTCTAAATTCTTTTTGATGAACTTTCCCAGTTCATCTAATTCCTTGGGAGTCATAGAGTACATTTTTGGTTTGGGCAGTTTCGCCCCTGGAATGATTTCAGTAGCACAGTCTGTAGGCCGGTGAGGGGGAGTTCATCTACTCTCTGCTCGCTGAATGCCTCAGCCAAATCTCGGTATTCCATTGGGAAGTTTTGCAGGTCTGACTCACCGAGGGCGGAGGCAAAATCGCGGCGTAATCCACATCTCCCGCCATTTTCTTTAGAGATGGGAGGGGCTTCCCCTAGCAGGAATTTTAACCGTCTTTCCCTCCAGTTGATCATGGGGTTCCATTCCTGGGGCCACGATAAATGTGTGGTCCCCCAAATCTATAAGGGCCTGGTGGCAAAACTGGCAGGTACCCCCCCCCCGCAACCGAGTCATCCAGCTGGCAAAAAGTAATTGGAGTCTTTAATCTCTTGAGGGTTATTCCCATTTTCCCCACTAGATCTGGGCTGATCATGTATCAGGTACACCCCTAGTCCAATAAAGCCACTAATTTTACTGTTCTCCCAGTGCCTGGTATGGAAAGTTCTAGGGTCAATTGGCCCACTTACCAATGGGTCATTTTCGTAGTCGCTTTCCGTGCCTTCTGGGTCATCGTAGTGTGGAGTCGGAGCTTGACCCTCTCCATCACGATCATGGGGGAGTTCTACGACCTCTTCCGATCTCATTGCTGTCTCGGGTACGGTGAGGTCCTCGAGGGTCTTCCATTAAGCAAGCGATCCCCTCTCTTGGCAGGTGTCTTGCTGAGGCAGTCCACTGCTCGGTGCCCTTCCTTACTGCATTTGAAGCAGGCAGTAGTACGAGGGTGGGCACGTGAGGTCCGAATGGTTTCCCCTCACTTCTCTGGCTGTGGTTTGAAGCTTGATCTCATCGGGCAGTGTAGGTGCTTGCGTTAATCAATTTCCACTTCCTCAGCTAGCAGACACGTCGTAAAGGTGTCCTGGGGCTCCACAAGCTACACAGGTATTGTATAGCTCTTCTTTGAGCCCGTTCTGGAAACAGTTTACCAGGATGTCTTCTGGCCAGTTTAAAAGATTGGCCAATTCTCTGAATTCTTCAGTATACTCAGCCACCGGTCTCCTCCTTGCTTCACCGTCTTTATGCGCTCATGGGTTTTCTTATCTGCCAGACGGTCTTCGAAGTTCTGCGGAGAGCGGCCATGAAGTGGTTGAAATTTCTCAGTTCGGGTGCATTGCAGTTGTACAATGTCACCATCCAGTCAGCTGTTCCATCTTCCAAGGCTAGGGTGACTACCCGAACCTTCTCTACATTAGTGGACAGTGTTCTCCCATAGATTTGCATGTAGGTGAACACTTGTGCTAGGAAAAACCCCAATCACTTTGGGTCTCCATCAAACTTCATTCCAATCGGGATCGGCTTCACCTCTGTTGGTTTGGGCGGTCTGTCTCTGGTCCCCTGGGGTGGGCTGCCGCCAAGGTTCCAGCCACTGCTGTCTCCCTGGCAGTCGATTCCTCTCCCTCCGATTCATCCTCCATCCCATCCTCTGATTCAAGGCACTCTTTTAGATGCACCTTGAATTCGCCGAGGGTCTTTCTCACGTATTCCATCACTGCTTCCATCGTGTCCAATTTCTGTTCTTCTCTTTATCTTTGTCAGGAGGGGCAGGCTCCGGATTTTTCTTCTTTACTTTTTTCTTCCCTCCACTTCGGGTGAGGGTTATTTTCAGAGCTTTTTCTTCCCATCCGTCCCGTTTTCCAACCCCAAATGATTATCTGGCTCGATCTTTTTCACCAGCGGGTCCATCTTCTTCCAGATCCCTGGAGAGGCTCTCATCTGGTTTTAAACAGAGGAGATCTTCGGACCATAGTTCTGCCTGGAACTCCTCCATGTGAGATTTGATTGCGACTCCCCCCATAGGGCAGCAGCTTCTCCGGGTTGAGTACTCTGCAGATCTCGCCTTATGTAAGGACCCACCTCACCTAACCACCCAAGAAAGCAAAACTCTTGAAACAGGCATCGTCTCAAAAGGAACTTTTATTAGGGGTTAGTGACAGTAGAGAAATCAAGGCGAGAAGTATTAATCAAGAGGTATTCCTCCTCCTCCCACCAAAGTCATAAAGTTCATTTGAAATCCAGCCAATCCACAGGTTGCACGATGTTTGGGTAACGTACAGTTGATAGGCATCTCAAGGTCTTTTCCAGTTTTGTTTCTTCCGTTCCCAGGAGGATAGGGGAGGGAGGGAGGGAGGGAGGGTAGGACTAAGTTTAGATAGAGAAAGTATAAAGCGAAAGTTACCCCAAGCGAAAGTATTCTCCCCCCCCATCAGAATGGCAGGCCCCAAAGTATAGCTAAATAAGCAGGGATATAATAAGGATTTGGGGACCTGAAATGTCCATTTTATTAAATGGAAAATGACCATTGCATATATCAGGAGAAACATAAGAAAGCTGAGAGCAGAGGAATAAATGTGTGTGGTAAGAAAATAAGAGTGTCATGGTTCCAACCAACAGAAACAGATAAAGCAGGACTCCGAGGCTTGCAAATTCCTCAAAGAACATTTTTTATTATTACAGAGTATTGGCAAGGACAAAAGTGAAACCAAGTCTGGAGAATCAATAATAAGCTCTCAATTACAAAGTATCAAATCTCTACCCCCAAAGCTAAGTCATACATCGCGTTCCCCAATTAATGCAGTTGGCGGGCTTTTGTGGACTACGCCCTGCGCTTGGATGAAGGAGCAATAGATGACCTTGGTTCCCACGGGACAGTAGTCTGTTTTGACTACCGAAGCACCTGGGAAACTCCCCCCCTCCCTCCATTCCATGTGGCAACTTCAAATGAGATGAAAATGGCTGCAGTGAGGCTCATTTGTAAAGTTGACAAAGAGGAATACAAAAGCGAGTGACTGTATGAAATAAGCATATTGTGATAGTTCAATTATATATAAATAATTAACAGAATGAAGGAAGACCAAGAAAACTGGTTTTGTGGAGAAATGACACATTTGAACAGAACAATTATGAGGTAACGTATAGTAAAAGCAAGATTGCTTTGCAAGATGGAGGGGTATTGAGGAATTCAGTAACTAGTGCTTATATTGCTGGATTTTCTTTTTTTCTATCTCCTGCCTTTTAATTTTTTTCTTTGTGTCTTCATGCTCTTTGTATAACACTTCTTACCCTGAAAGGCAATGGGTGTGAAATGACATGCCTGCTCTTTAATATTGGATTCATGTTTGTGGGCAACAGTTTCTGGGTGTGCAGTTCACAAACTGGGGTGATTCTCCTCTGGCAGAACCAGAGGAGGCCCTGCTAGGCTTCTCCTGGCAGCCTTGGCATTTCTGTGCATGGAGTCAGCATGCTCTTCTCCATCCAGGCTCCCACTGTGGGATTCCCAAATTTGTAGTAGGCCTGAAAGAAATCCTTCAGTTGGGCCTTGGAAGCGGCTGCCAGGCTCCCCAGGAATCGGGCTGCGTCTGGAGTTCAGGGCACAGATGGGAAAGAGGCAGGCGGGAATCCCTGCACGCTTGAGAGACGGCCATGAGATTGAGCGCTATAGAACCCACTCTTGGTTCTGTTCCTTAAGGTCAGAGCTTTGCAGCAGCAGCAGCAGCAGCAGCAGCAGCAGCAGCAGCAGCAGCAGCAGGTGGCTTCCCAAGTCCAGGCTGCTCAGATGGGAGCATCCAGCCAGGTAAGCTGCTACCCCAGAAGCTGCAGGCTGGGTAAGGCCTCTTTCCTAGTCCTGGGTAGAGGAGAAGGGCATTTCTGTTCTGCTCCTCTTTCGAGTGCAGTTTCTGCCTCCTGCAGTGGGGGAACCTGGCACCCTTGCCCTGTGCTTGGCAAGGCCCCCAGGCCGCTTTAGAGGGGCTTCCTGGCTTTTTCTGAAAGAGGTTTTGTCCTTTTCTCCCCGTTCCTGAGCGAATGCTCCCTTTCTCCTACCAGAAGGTTTGGTTGGATGCTCCTCCCTCCTCTTCTCAGTTCTGGGTAACCTGAACTTTAGGTGCCGCCTTGTTTCAAGGAGCCAGTTCCACGTGGCCCTGATCGTGGCCCTGTCGTGCTGGGCTGGCGACTCATTTCCAGCACGCTGCCTGATTGCCTGGTGTTCTTCCAGGAAAAAAGTACTAAGAATCTGGCTGGATGCAAGAAGAGATCCCTGGAACTGATCCTGTGCAGCCTTTCCCTTCCTGGCTCACTTGGAGCTGTTCCTGCAGGAGCTCTTGAAGCCCTTGGCCCAAGGAGGGTGCCCCAGGGAGGCTCTGTTTCCTTCCCAGCATCCTGGCCGTGCGCCCTCGATGGAAGAGTTCAGTCTTGCTGGCATTGGGGAAAGTCTGTTATCTCCGTCTGGCCCTCGGAAGCCTGTTCAAGAGAGAGCCTCTCTGCTTTTGTCAGGGATCCCCTGGAAGTGTGGAAGGCAAGCCGGGAGCAGTTTGAGGATAGGGCCAAGCACCGGAGGGCGGCATCTTTCTTGCACAGAGGGAACAGCAGGGGAGGATGAATGTTTCGGGATTTTCCTGCAGAAATCTGATTTAAAAGAGAGAACTCGAATGGCTTCCATTGGAAATTTAGCATAAAACCCCTAATTCAGTGTTTCTCAGCCATGGCAACTTGAAGCCATGCTGGCTGGAGAATTCTGGGAGTTGAAGTCCAGAAATGCTGCCCCACTTAAATAAGCAGGTGGGAGGAAGAATAAGAGGCTGGTTGCTCTTTGAATGCTGTGAGCAAAGATCTTGCAGCAGATTTGAATTGGGTTGGGGGCTGCCATTTCAGAGAGAGGCGAGTTCCTCTTCTGGGTTGGGGGCTGCAGCTAGTCCTTGACTTACAACCACGATAGAGCCCAAAATTTCCATTGCTAAGCAAGACAGTTGTTGAGTGGATTGTACCTCATTTCATGATTTTTTTTTGCCACAGTTGTTAAGCGAATCAATGCGTTAAGGGAATCTGGCTCCCCCCCCCATTGACTTTGCTTGTCTGAAGCTGGCTGGAAATTAACAAATATAAAACTCTTCACCTCATAATTCAGCGAGGTGTGTATGGGCAAATCCAGTAAATAACATCTTCTCTAATCCAGTTGTCAGCAAGAAGTCCAAACTGGGTCCTAAAATAATAGCATCAGTTAACAAATGTAAAATCCTTGTTCCCGGTCTCAACTCAGCTGTAAGCAAAACCACATCTAGAAGACCTTAGGGGGTCCCAGGGTCCTGAGGCTTTGCACTCGGAGGGCAACTGGGAACCAGCGCAACAGAGACAAACCTCCGTGTTCTGGAGCGGCTAAAGCTTCCAGCCCCAGGCAGAGAGCATTGCCCTAAGACCTGGGTGGTCCTGAGCAGCGGCTCCCAGTCCTGGAAGGGGCAAAATTGAGATTTTTGCCGTGGGTGCCGCTTGCTCCTTCAGGAACCCCAAACTGCACTCGGCTCTATTCTGTCAAGCGTCAGAGATGGTGACTCTCCAGATTCACTAGGGCTGAGTTGCAACCAGCTCTTCCTCGTCCAGAAGGGTCTGGGGGAGCCCCTGAATGGCATCACATGTCTGGCTTAGGGTGGGGATGGAGAGTCAAATATCATCAGCAAAGTAAGGATCCTGCACCCGGTGCCAAGGAATGGTCTCGCCCATCCCAAACTCTCCAACTCAGCCCATCCAGTGTGAGAGACGCAAAGCCCGGCCGTTGGGGCCTTTGGCTTGGACAACCCATCCCACATTCCAGCTCACCTCATCTCCAACCTCTCCCTCTGTGGCCCTGCTCTCTCCCAGACACTCACATTCAGCAGACCCACCAGTTTCTCCTCTCTCCCCCAGAGGGATAGGTTCAGTTCAGCTTCACCCTGTCCCAGTTGGGGATCCCTAGTCTCGTTCTTGTCCAAGCTGCCAGACTCCCAGCGGCAGCAGCAGTCCTAGTCCTTCCAGGTCCTGAGTGCTAGGAAGACAGAGGGCCACAGCAGTGGCTGCTGCACGTGGCAGTTAAACAGCAGCCCTGAAAGCTCTGAGGCGCCCCCGGCTCCCCTGCAGGAAAGGTTCCCTGATCTTCGCTGAAAGTCTCAAAGTCCGTGGCAGGAAAGAGGAGAAAGGCCTACTGGAGCATCTTGGCAGTACTTGCCAGTAATTGGACCATTTCTCTCCTGCCTTCCTCAGCCGTTCTTTTCTGGGCTTGTCTTTCTGCCATATCATGCCAAAAGTGCATGTGTGTGTGGGGAGGGGGGAGATGTCTCTCCTACCCCCCAGAAACCCCATCAGAACTTTTCGGCCTCTGCAGCACGTGAGAGTGAGATGCCATCTGAAAAGTGAGCCTTCCCAGGGATCCCTCTCCTTGCTGGAGGATCCAGGGCCAGGGGGCTTGGGGGAGACTGGGCTGTCCTCTGCTGGGGGAACAGAGGCTGATGGGGGGGGAGCTCAGAAGATCAGGAATGGCTCAGAGAAAGCAAGAAGCTCATAGTGACTGGCTGGTTGCTGCATCTTTTGCGGTGTAGGAAAGGGCCTCAAAAGAAGGGGCTTGGCAGAGGCCCAGGGGCTGCTTGCATCTCAAACTGTGTAGATGGGATGAAAGATAACGCAAAGTCCTAATGGAATAAAATGAGAGGTTTCTGGGAGCTGAATGGCTGGCTCTGCTCCCACATCCAGCTTGCATCGTTAGGATTTGTCCCAGGCACTTTTTCAAACCTTTTTTTGCGAGCGATCCCATTCACCACTGCTGTCTTTGGATGGCTTTTCGTGTTCTGTGGTCTTTCTTGGAAACTTGGGTTGTGACGTGGAGCTGGGATTCTCTCTGAGCTTCTTCCATGCCCGTTGCCCCTTTCCAAGGAAGCCCGACTGGTTAGAGGCCGCCCCGGCTGTGGCACCGGGTCCTAAAGGCCTGGGCAATGGGAGGCTGGGAGAAGAAGTGCCCCAGCTGGTGACAACCGCTGCAGCTCCAGAAATAACCGATGACCTTAAGACGGGGCTCCCCGGATTGTCAAGGAGAGGGAGACCGCCAGAGGACGGCCGCGGGCCGACCTTAACCTCCAGCTGCCAGCAGGTGCTGCGCTTGGTGCCTCACCTCCTCTGTTCCTTTCTTTTACCTGCGTTCCTAAAATGAGCAGGAGGTAAGCTGGCACACTGCAGAGCGAGTATAGCCCCTCTACTGTGCATCGCCTTGTTTAAGAAAGCCTCTTTGGCATGCTTAGGGAAGGAAAGGGGGGCCTTTAGACACATCTCGGGGAGAAAAGGGCAGGAACTGGAGGGGTAGAAAGTTATCTGGGTAGCTACATTAGAGAATCTGCTGCAAATTCCAGTGTGGCTCTTTGCCTCGGATGAAAATATTAGGGGCTTCTCACTTTATTGCCCTTCATCAGACACCTGGCCAGGCTTCTTTGCAAACCTGGAGGACCCCAGCGTTTGCAGGTCAACTTCTGGCCTAGGGAGGATTTTTAAATTGGGTTTCTTAGAAATTTTAATTACCACAACACTAAAATATTGGTTTTAATTTGGTTTTATTCGGTGGGGTGTGTGGGTTTGTCTTTGTTTTTTAAAAATGTTGTGAGCCGCCCTGAGTCCTTCGGGAGAAGGGCGGGATACAAATTGAATAAAATGAAATGAAATGAAATGAAATGGGCTCCAGAAGCAATTGCGAGGGGCTGCTGAGCGTCAGTGTCTTTCCCAGGGTTTGTGCTCCTGGGCTGAGCAAGTCTTTGCAACTTCGCCCTGTCTCACTTTTGATAATTCCAGGTCTCTGGCTCCCCAGAGGTTATTCTGGCTGTGCAGTGGAACCTCTGGGGGGCAGAGAAGAGTTGCTTAAGGTTCTGCCTGTGATGGGCTACTGGCCCTGCAGTTCAATTGAGCACATCCTGGTGAGCTGAAGCCAGGAACAGGTGCTTCTGTCCACATCGGAGAACAGCTGGAGTGGCTCTTCCCTTCAGGAAGGCTTTCTAGGACAAGCACACGACTCTTTGTGCATCGTCTTTCCCGGTCTTTCAGTCAGGTTGGCCATTCATAACTCCACTTGGGAGGGGGCAGAATTAGGCAGTTCCTCCTGGGGCCGCTGCCCCAGCTTTACTCTCTCAGCTTCCCTGTTCAGAGGCAGCATCTTCGCGCATCGTTCCTCTTGGCCTCTGTAAGACAGAAGAGCAGGCCTTGCCTTCACCGGGCCTGGCTGGAGCGCAAAGGCCCTCTGAGTCTGCCTCTCCTTTGGGCTGCCTGTCCCTGCACTGAGCTGTTCAGCAGCTTCTCTCCCGGTTCAGGCGCCGCTCACGAATGAGGGCAGATTTGACGAATTGCCTTTTTTGAAGCTGCGGGGTTGCTGCCTTGCCGGAGCCTCCCCTCTGATGGAGGCTGCCGCCCGCGGGGGTCCCTGTTGGTGCTGACGGTGGTGGTGGTGCTCCTGCTCCGGGTCAGGGCTGCCTTCTGGCTTCCGCTGGGTTTCCTTTGGCGGTGTGGCAGAAGGCAAGGCCGAGGCAGCCCGCTTGGTTGAGCCACAGTGTTCTCACAGCATTGCGTCCATGCTAGGCCTCCTGTGTGGCTCAGAATGTGGAGGAATGCCTGGAGGGAGTCTCATCTGCTGCTGCCCCCCTTGTCTTGCTGGCGCTGCCCCCCCCCCATCATCCCTCTGCCTTTGCTTGGAAGCTGGTGTTGTACAGCGCTGCCCTTCTCGTCCTTCTGGCCTTCCTCTGCATGTGGTGGATGTTACGCGTGTGCATGTGATCTGTGTCTCATCCCCATTGCTGCTTCTGAATGACTCTTCCCAACCCATGCTGGGAACGGAGCTTCCTTGTTCCCCATGAACTAACCATGATGCTCCATTTGATGCTCCTGAGCTGTGGCTTCTTTCCCCTTTGGTTGTGACGCTCGCATGCTTCTGTTTTGCAGTGGTGGTTGCCAGCACTGACCTCCTGAAATGTGTGCTATGGCGGCTGCAGTCTCTGACTTACTGGCGGTTCCCCAAAGAGGCTGTCAAATTGGTGCCAACACATTAGTGCCTTTTTGCTTGCTTAGTTCAGTGCCTGTCAGGCACTGATCCGGCCACAGATAGGGACTGAGCTGTGGCCTGGGCCACCCTTCTGGAAGGAGGCAAGCCCAGGGCTAGTGGCCTCCAGGCTCCCACTGGATGTGACACACACACCCCCATCACACCTGGGCAATGGTGTGTCTCTCTCCTGCAACTGGACTGCAGCTCCCTCCTCCCACCACATTAACCATAACTACTTTGGTAAGCCAACTGCTGCCCGGACCCTTCCTTGGACGAGTGTGCTTGGCTTCCAGCTCCCCAGATGCTGCATGTGCTTCTTATCCTGCCAATGTGCTGCATTTCTCGTGTTGCGATTACTTTTGTCTGTCCCTCTGTCCTCCCAAGATGATCACCGCAAGTATGGCCCGAGGTGGGATGCCAATAAGACCACGGTTCCCGCCCACCACCGCTGTCTCTGCCACGCCTCCAAGCACCATGCCTTTGGGTGGACCACAAATGCCTCAGGTACTTCGTGGAGCGGAGTGGGTTGTGGCTGGGGGCTTGTGCGAGGGCTGATTGTCTGGTCTTGGTCATCTCCCACCTTTGACCTGCACTTGGAGCAGCTGCTGCGGGGGGCCACGTCGGACCAATGGCAGGTGTTGCCCAGGAGCCGAGACAGGGATGCAGGTGAGGTCTCTCGAACTGGAAAGAGAAACCGCACCTGCTCCCCCGTGAGATGCACCTGACACATCCTCAATGACAGGCCTGGACAGTTTGGGGGGGGAGTCCTGGGGGGAGATTTTCATCGAGGGGTGTGACTGAAGAGAGTCTTATCCACCCCAGCCGCCATTAAAATGGTTCCTCTGCTTCAGATTCCCTCCTGCGTCTTCTCTTAAGCCCTGGAATTGAGCCCGTCCACCGAGATCAGTGGCGGCCCTGGGCTCCCCTGTGCAAGTCTTTTAATAAGTTGGAAGGAAAACAGAAGAGAACTTTACACATCAAACTTATTTCAAGTTGCTGGAGCTAAAAGAGTAATTTTCTCAGTTTTTATCATTTTTGCAGACTTCCTGCTGCACAGTCCAAATCTTCGCTGAACTTGCATCTAAGAGGTTCAGTTTTTCCATTACCTTGATCTCGGGGTGTCAGGGTGGGGGAAAGAAAAGGCTCCAAGGATGATCACCCAATAACAGCCTCCAGGTTGGTGGCTTTGCTTCAACACGGCTTCCTCTTATCTATCTTTACTCTTGGTTGGCCGCATCCTGTGAATTAGGCCATTAAAGAGCCAGGAAGGGTCTTGTTAATTTGGCTGTTTCTGAGTAGGTTTCTCCCCAGTGCCCCTGGTGTGGCTCCTGCAGGCCGCTTTGGATCAGAATGGCCGCACCCTCCTTTCCCGGTGCCTCCCCCTTCTGCTTTTCCTGCCTTTTATTTGTGCCGGTGACCTCCTTGGAGGAATTCCCACCAGCTGATTCATGGGGCTCATTCGGTTAGGACCAGTTACTCCATTTGGCTAGGTCTGCCCGGTACTCCCCCACCCCCACCCCCTTGCAGCAGCTGCCCTTCTCTCTTCCTGTGGCTATTCCCATTCTACCAGTCGGAACTGAACCTGGAGATTAAGCGATGAATTCTGTGGCTTCAGAGCTCTGGACTGGTGGTGAAAGTGGCCCCAACACAGAACAAGTCTAGGAAGAGGTGAGACCACGTTCAGGTTTAGTCATCTTTGCTGGCAAGATGGAGATCGGTCTTGAAAGCCAGTTTTGGTCCGCAGCAAAGCTTGCACGTGACTTAGCTGACAGTGCATCAACCTGAAACAGATGGATTTAGTCCATGTCTCCGGGCAGCCCCTGAGTCAGCTCAGGGCTCTGTGTGGCAAGAGGGGACTTGTGGTTGATAGCAGCACCCCTGTTGCGTTTCCGTTCTTCTGGCTCTCTTGGCATGCCCTGGGGCCTCCTGTCAGCTCTACTTGCAAAATTTCCTGCCGGCCCAGCCCTCCATGCTTCATCAGTGCTGTAGCACCTCTGCCAAGTGCGATTTCTGAAAACTACGTCCTGTTCTTTTGGGCTGAGGAAAAGCTGCAACCCTCTGAATCCCATTGTCTCCTCTTTGAGACACCTCCTGACTGATGGCGTTGTTGCCTGGTGAGGATGGAGGACAGATCTGATCAGGGGTGACGCCTTGGCTTTTGGTGGTGAAAGGCAGCTGAGAGCCTAAATAAGGAAGCTTCTAATTTGGACATACTTTACGCTCAAAACAACCAAGGAAAACATCTGCCGCCAAGTAGTGGGTCAATCCCGAGAGAAAAGAGTTAACATTGGCATGTTTGTAAGTCCAGGCTGGAGGCCCCTAGTTAAGGTTTATGGAAAGCTGAGCCCTGGCAGAACCCAGCCATTGTGCTCTGGTAGAAATAGGGGTTGGGGACGCTGACGGAAACCTGCTGGGCTTTCTCTGGCTGGCTGACCTTGTCCCCGAGCGTCTTTAAGGCCCCCTTAGTTGTCAGTGAGCCTCAGTGGTGCTGGCGTGGCATCTTTTTCAATTGTGGATTATGAGGTAAGTGGATAGGATTTGGGGATCTTAGGCTAAGGTGAGCTAATTCTGCACCTGAGGAGTTGCAGTTTGTGAACTGGGCAGCCATATATCAATCAGCTAACCGAAGGCCCCGTTTTCTGATGCCAGTTCATCCCAGTCCCTCTTGAATTAATGACTCCGAGAGCCGCTCAGACCCAGCCAGGAAGTGCGGTGGCGTCATAGGAGACATACACGAGGATTTTCAGTCTTTGTGTTATGGACTTGCTTTGTGCAGCTGAGGAAATGGTTCAGGGTCCTCTAGGAATGTTGGGGTTCAGCTGAGATGGTGCCTGCCTGTGGATCTCTCTGGCAGAGATTTCCAAAGATTCCCAAGGGAAAGGGGGCCCCTGCTGGCCTGAGCGTGGGGCCCAAAGGCTGCCTGCTCTGCTGAGGCCTCTCTTTGCAAAGACCGTCTTTCTCTTCCAGGTCAGCCAGAGCAGCATTACCCTGATGTCTTCTCCGTCGCCTGTCCAGCAAGCCCAGACACCCCAGCCAATGCCTCCCCCACCTCAGCCACAGCCTTCTCCTCAGTCTGGGCAGCCCAACTCCCAGCCCAACTCCAACGTCAGGTGCGGGCCAGTCTCTCGATGGGCAGGTCCTCCTGAGGAAAGCGGAAGCCGCTGACCCATCTCTGCTCCGGGCCTGAAACCTCTTCCTCCTCTTCCAGTTCTGGCCCAGCCCCGTCTCCCAGCAGCTTCCTTCCCAGCCCATCTCCGCAGCCTTCGCAGAGCCCAGCAGCTGCCCGGACACCGCAGAATTTCAGCGTCCCATCTCCAGGGCCACTCAACACACCAGGTAACTTGCATCCCTTCCGGCTTCTAAAACAAGAATTTCCGTGGTGGATTCCTTCAGAAGGAGGTTTCTTGGCAGTGTGGGTTTTTTTGGACCTGGCCAGGTCAGAGAAGGAGGCCCAGTGCCTTTGGGAGCTGATTAACAGAATGACAGAGTTGGAAGAGGTCTTCTATCTAGTCCAAACTCCTGCTCAAGCAGGAGACCCTTTATCATTCCAGAGATTAATTCCACTGGTTAATTGTTCTCACTGGTAGGAAATTTCTCCTTAGTTCTAGGTTGCTTCTCTCTTTGGTTAGTTTCCAGCTCCTGTAAACTGCCTGAAGTTACAGCTAAACTGTATTTTAACATGATAAGGGGAGGAAAGTATTACCTAGTAACAGGAGACTAATCTTATTTAATACCTCATTTTGACTGAAAGTAAATGAAACTCAGTTTAGTTTTCTGCCTGATGCCTCTGGCTTTGTGTGGTGAGGAGCTCTTTTGCCTGCACTCGAGGGACTGAATGTTGCAAATGGGCGCTGTTTCAGGACAAGGTCCTTCCTGTTAAGCCAACCCTCCCACCCCTGAACAGGCTGCTTTTTGTTCCCCCAAGGCAACCCCAGCTCTGTCATGAGCCCGGCCAGCTCCAGTCAGTCTGAGGAGCAGCAGTACCTGGAGAAGCTCAAGCAGCTGTCCAAGTACATCGAGCCTCTGCGCCGGATGATCAACAAGATCGACAAAAATGAAGGTCTGGGTCCTTTGGGGAGAGGGGGTGTCCGTCCTTTCAATAACCGGAGAGGGAGAGAAAATCTCTCTCTCCCTCTCCCTCTCTCTCTCTCCCTCTCCACATACACACACTTTATTAAATTTGTACAAAAGAAAAAAAATAAAAGGAAAGAAATGGAGAGTGCAAGGAATAAAGAAAATAGAATAACTTCTGACTTCCTTCAGTACAGTTACAAATATAAAAAACATTAACCTTTTGCTGTAAAATTCAATAGTACATAGTATTTCTGTAATCATAAAGAGTTTTAATAATCAAATCCCAAAATTAAAGTTTCATTTATTTCAGTTTCAAGCAAAAAGTGCAAAAGTGGTTTCCACCATTTTATAAAAAGTTCACCCTGTCATTCTTGCTTAGCATCATCAATAATTTTACTCACTTTGTAATTTTACAAATCTCAAATTTAGGCTTTATAAATTTTGTCACTTTAAATGTAACTTCATCGTACCTGGATCTAAAAAGTTCAATTTCATCCAATCCCTGATGCTGTGATTTTTTTCGCAGCCGTGGCGAATAGCAAACACTTTGCGTGTAAATCCATGACACATGTTAGTCAAAGGCACCCCTTCAAGGTCCAAAACATACATTTCAGCTGGCAATGCCACTGGAAGCAGAGAGAAAAAGAAGAAGTAATAGGAAACTTCCCTAGTTACCTTTGTATTATTGATCCAGACCAATTAGCACAGGGGAGATGGGGGGGGGGGAGAACGGGACCCCAATGTTCCTGCAAGGCCACTATCAGGAATTCAAGGCTCCAGTTCCACCTATGGCAAATCTGTTGTTGTGGAATTGGAGCCTGGAATTACCTGCCATAGATAAACTCCATCCATTAAAAACAAGTTCTCTCATTCTCTCATAAAGGCAGTAATCCAACTTTGTTTTTCTTTTTTACTAAATGTGCAAATCCCAACATCCATGTCCAGTTTTTATATTATAGCCACAAAAATACTGGAAAACTCCCAACAGAAATGCTTACCTGTATCTGAAGAAAGTCTCTCTTCTGCTTAAAGGTGATAAATTGTAGAAAGTGCTTTAGAAATGGGGAGATCGGCTCTCGGATCCTGTCTAATCTGGCCACGCCACAGCTCCACGTACGTTGGGAACGCTGCCTCAGCCGATCAACTCACCAGGGGTTAATTCCCTGGATTCTCATTTGATTCCAGAGAATTCCTGAGCCCCGGGTCAGCTGGGGGGGCGGGGGGAGACCTCTCCCTTTCCAAGGGAGCCACTCAGTCTGACATTTCTCCACTAGAAGTCCAGGAGGATGGGAGAAGAACAGCTGAACCTCCCACCCACCCCGCACATGTGTCAGTCAGTTGTCATAGGAGTCTCTGGGCAGGATGTGTGGCTGCTCCTCAACAGCCACTGAAGGGTCCCTGGGTGCACACGGGCCTTGAGAGCATCTGTCAGTGATTTGAGATCCCAGATTCTTACTTAGGATCTTGTAGAACCAGACCTGAGGATCAGCCATGTCCTGTTTCATTGTCAGATATTGTTCAGCTTGGGAAGAGGAAGAAGCTGGGCAATAGTTCCTTGGTGAGCTGCAGGGGCGCATTCTGGGACTGAACGCGCCCAAGGTCCCATGAAGGAGCCACCAGCCTCTGGCAGCCATCTTGGCCCCTGCGTGGCAGGGAGGAGGGAGGGGGCGTCTTTTGTGCCAGCTGCTGCTGAGAGAGTCATAAATAAGGCAGCTTTCTAGGTTGCTTTTTCTGACCTGGAAACTGGTTTATGTAAAACTTGGTCCCTTTTTCTTTGTCACAATCTTTTACAATTTTATTATAATGGCATTCTTGCAATTGTGCCCTCACAAACTTGGATATTAAATTTGGCTTCTTCACCATCTTGGCCGGCAGCAAAGGAGCTCTCCCCAGCCCCCTTGAAGAACTGATCTTTTGAGGTGGCTTAGCGGGCGGGTTTTCTCTTTAAAGCCTTCAAGGGTGGGTTGTGTTTTGACTGCTGTTTTTTTCTGACTCTGTTGTGTTTGGGGTAATTTTACATATTCTTTCTGAGTTCCTCAGTGAAGGAAAAGGACTAAACGGCCACTAAAAAGACCGTGCGTGGTCCCCCTTGCTTTCTTCTGACCGGATTGGGCCTCCCTGCCTTTTCCCATTCAGACAGGAAGAAGGACCTGAGCAAGATGAAGAGCCTGCTGGACATTCTAACGGATCCTAAGAAGCGGTAAATTCTTGGTGGTTGCACGTTTCCCTCTGTGAGTCTGTGCTGCTTTCCTCTTGCAGTGAACCTCGGGGGGGGGCTCTATTCTTCTGCTGGGCTTTCCACCTGCTCCTCCTCCTCCTCCACTATACGGTCAGTCACAGCGTCACACAGGTGTTCTCACCAACTAGCAGCCCCATTGTAGCTTTTGTTCTTCCCGGCTCCACCTGCATGCTGAGAAGCAGAGACCGCCTTCACTTCCTCGGAGAGGGCCAGCCAAGCATCCTGGTAGTGGCTTTGGCCAAGCTGATCCGAGGAATGTCTGTGCGGTCCCGTTTTCCCCAAGAGGGAAATCTGAGAGTCCCTTCTTTCCTTCTTAGCTGTCCTCTGAAAACTTTGCAGAAATGTGAAATTGCTCTGGAGAAGCTCAAGAACGACATGGCCGTGGTAAGTGAAGGGAGGAGTAATATGGCCGTGGTAAGTGAAGGGAGGAGTAACATTCTGCAGCGCCTTGGATTCTGCACTTCAGTGAGGACCTGAAGTTGCAGGTGAAAGAATGGTGGCTAAGCAGGGTCTGAATCTTGAGTTCTCGATGCTGAGCAGGGGGCAGATTGTGCAGGAGACAGCAGGTGAGGGGAGCCAGGCAGGCAGGCAGGGGTCAGCCCAGAGCCGAGCCGAGAAGGGCCGGCAGCTGAGGCAACAGGTAGAAAAGCACCGGATTGGAAAGACTCCCGTTCTGATCCTAGTTACTCTCTTTTGTGTTGACGGGGGGGGGGGGGG